GAAGGCGCGCGGGCTCAACAAGCAAGATGGATCGCCCCCCATATCCGAGCTCACAGGTGGCATCTGCGAGTCGGATGAAACATTGTGGAACCTTGGGTCATTGCGCAGCCGCTACGTCGTTGGGATTCTGAACTCGATTGGGGCGGCCGGCTTGGACGGGTACACCGACTCGGCAGCTCGCGCCCTCGCAGAGTCGATGGTTGACGTTGCCTCTACGGACAATGCTACTGACGACGGATCATGGGTGTCCACTTGGCAAGCGATGATAGAGGCGGCTGGAAATGACACGTCGTTGAACAAATACTTCGAGCTGGATGCTACTCGTCTTGATGGGATGGCGGAAGAAATCAAAGAGGCCGTCGCCGCAGGAGATTCAGATGCTACCAAGGGGACCAAGGGCGCCATAGTGATATCTACGATCCAGTCTCTCTGGGAAGGCGATGCGGCGCCCATTATCAAAGTGTTCATGCTCAACCTTGAGGCGTTCATCTGGAAAAAATGTATGGTGCAGACTAGCTGCCCTGCGTCCGACGTCACGCTGGAGCGCGGGTGGTCCGACCTGGCGCTCAGAGAGCAGGATGCCGACGATGTGACGAAGGGCATCGTTGCGATCAAGTGCAACCCCACCTTGAGGCTGAACTACGTGGGCAGTATTACGAGGATGCCGCTGCCCCACAGCTTCAAGATCACTACTGCGTTCGGCATCGACTTCTACGTCACCAGCCACGGCACCTCCGCCCACCCGTCGGCGGGCGACTCCTTCGTCCCAGCCTGGTCTATCCCACTTCCACCCGTCAAGGAGCGGGAAGGGTGCGCAACGAGGACGATATGCTCATCTTCCTCCCCCATCCTCCCCCGTCTCCTTCCGAGCGGGAACTTAGCGGGGGGAGGAGGAGGAGGAGGAGGAGGAGGAGGAGGAGGAGGAGGAGGAGGAGGAGGAGGAGGAAGGGGGGGAGGAGGGAGGCGGAGGAGGAGGAGGGACGATACCGCCTCGACGAAACAAGAGGTGGAGAGGAGGGGTAGGCGATAGGGAGGATGAGAAGGTGGAACAGAAGGAGGGATGAGGATAAGACTATGGCGAGGGCATGTCTGCGCCAGCGGGTCAGGAGCCGATCAGGATGAGGAGCGATTGCGATCAAAAATTTCAGAACCAAGTTCTGAAACCAATACTTCGAAAGTATCGTCAAAATCAAGTTCCGAAAACATTTGGACCCTCGGGGGGTCCACGTTCGAAAACCTTAGGGATAACCAGGTTCGAATACCTTCGTTGGGGCCACGTCCGAAAACCATCGGGACTCCACGGTCGAAAATCCTCGATGCTTGAAAAACCATCGGGCCGAAAACCTCGAGCACAACCTGTGAAACAACGATCGGAAACCTTCGGGGCCTTCGGGGGAACGGGGAACCGCGATCGCATCGTCCTGAGCCTTGTCGGCGTTTCCAGCAGGAAGCTTCGAAGACGATCAAGGGGGTGCGGACCGAGGCTGTGCTAGAGGATCCAGTGCTGTCTGTCGACAAGCAGACCCTTCCTTTCGAGTTTCAGTACACTGCGTTCAACAAGTTGGAGACCGTGTCAGTAGATGTTGATTTCTACAGTGGTTTTGAATTCGAAATGCTTGGGGGCCGAGAAGGTCCTCCTCACCCGTGAGCCTCTGTCCATGGCAGTCCAGCCAACGCCCAAGCCACAGAGCAAGGGCAAGGTCGGCACCACGGGTGGGAAGTGCAAGAGTTCCAGTTCCACGTGCAGTGCTATTAAGATCCCCGAAGAATTCGATGACCACAAGCACTGCTTCAACTAGGGTAGGTAGGTCATCCATCGACTAGCTTCCTTGATACAACTGTGTATGTACCCATTGAACAATTACATACAGACTATCTTACTCATAGGTTCATACATCTATGTTCTTGTAGTGCAGATTAGAGACCCCCCCGCCCCCCAGCTAGTTCGTTTGGAGTGTGAATTCGATTGGCGCGAGCGCCGACGAGCTATTGCGAGCACCCGCAATGCAATGCGCAATGCTCTCTTTGCCCTGGCCCTGGCTGTGTCTGGCTGTGCCACTCATCCGCAGGGCCGCGCGCTAGCATGTTCATAAACAAACACACATACAAACACCAACAAAAACAAACAACGTGTGGCTCTCAAGTTTCAAGCTCTTCCGATGTTTCACCGCTGCTGCTCCGTCGGAGCCCGCGGGGATTCGTGGCACGATTCGTGGAGTGCCATTGCTCTCGGAGCTCTCGGGTGACCGAGCCCTCCACTCACGAAGAAAATAATAGTTTCAGTGGGGTTCAGTGGATCTCGTCTTCTGTCCTGGTGGATCTCGTCTTCTGTCCTGGCCCCGACGGCGACAGCTCGACGGCGACGGCGGCGAAAACGACGAAGACGACGACGACGGCGACGTCGACGACCCTCGGCCGCGCCCGTGCCCCGTCGTGGACTACGGGACTACGGCCCTACGGCTTCGGGGACCTGGAAGGACGGAGGGGCCGTCAGCGCGCGACCTCCTCCTCCTCCTCCTCCTCCTCCTCCTCCTCCTCCTCCTCCTCCTCGTCCTCCTCCTCCTCCTCCTCCTCCTCCTCCTCTCCCCCCGTTTCCTCTCTTATTACTCGTCCTCCTCCTCCTCTGCCCCCTTCTCCTCCTCCCAGCAGGGTTAATTTTTTACTCCGCATGTCGTGTGCCTCCTCTCTCCTCGCCCTCCTCCTCTTCCTCCTCCTCCACCTCCTCATCTCCATTTTCCTCTTCCTCCTCCTCTTCCTCTTCCTCCTCGTCCTGCCCCTCCCCCCCCCACACTGGTTTTCATAGGAGCTTCGGTTTTCAAAAAAGAGCCCGCCCAGGGAATGGGGACTACCATTCCCAGCTGGAACTTGAGCGCGCGCGAAGCGCGCGATGGTTCTAGTGAGAATACATCGCTGGCAGTTGTAAGTTCAGGGGTTAAGGATATTTGATTGGCAGTTTTAGACCAGGGGTGATGATATTTCGCTGGCAGTTTCAAGCGAGGGGTGTGAGGATATTTCGCTGTCAGTTTTAATTTTCGGGGTTGGGGATATGGCAGTTCTAGGCAAGGTGTGTGAGGATATTGTGGTGGCAGTTTTGTAGCGAGGGGTGTGAGGAAATTTCGCTGGCAACTTTAAGTCAGGGAGGTGAGGATATTCGGTGGCAGTTTTAAGCCAGAGGGTGAGGATATTTCGCTAGCAGTTTTAAGCCAGGGAGTTGAGGATATTTCGCTGGCAGTTTTAGGCCAGCGGTGAGGATAGTCCGCTGGCAGTTTTATGCCAGGGGTGAGGATATTTCGCTGGCAGTTTTATTCGAGGGGTGTGAGGATATTTCGCTGTCAGTTGTAAGTTAGGGGGTTGGGAATCTGGCAGTTCTAGGCGAGGGGTGTGAGAATATTCCGCTGGCAGTTCGAAGCGAGGTGTGTGAGGATATGTCGCTGGCAGTTTCAAGCGAGGGTGAGGATATTTTGCCGGCAGTTTCAAGCGAGGGGTGTAAGGATATTTCGCTGACATTGTTAAGCCAGGGCGGCGAGGATATTTCGCTGGCAGTTTCAGGCCAGGGGGCAGGATATTTCGCTAGCAGTTGTAAGGGAGGGATGTGAGGATATTTCGCACGTCAGGGGGGGGATTTCGCACGTCGGATATTTCGCTGGCAGTTTTCAGCCAGAGGCGGTGGGAATGCTTCGCTGGCAGTTGCAAGCGAGGGGTGTGAGGATATTTCACTGGCAGTTTTAAGTGAGGGGTGTGAGGATATGTCGCTGGCAGTTTTGAGGCCGGGCGGTGAGGATATTTCCCAGACGGAACCAAGCAGCACCATGTGCCACGCACGGTCGCTGGATCCGTCGCCCGACGCTGGTCGGGGGGGTCGGAGGTAGTGCCTGAGAGGAGTCGTGGTCGGTGCGGGCATCCACGCGCCACGCGATGCAGTGTTGGGTTTTGCCCTGCCTGGCCCAGCCGAAGGCTACGCATGCAGCGCGGTGCTGCGCCCGTATATATGCTCGCCCTTTGGCGTGGGGCTGGCGGGGGGCCAAGGGGCGAGCTATCCGGTGTTTAGTTGAACCCATTGGTGTTATCTCTCTTGAATGGCGCTTAGTTGGCATCTTCGCTTGGACAAGAGTGGTATGCATACGAAAGTCTGCCCCAGAGTCAGGGTTTCTGGTGGAGCACGACGGGCGCTCTCGGGCGAGGCTCCCTGCGCGTTCGGGCCTTGGGTGTCTTTCTCTCGCGGCGTCGCGGCCGGAGCAGGCGCCGCCCAGTTTCTTTTTTTTTTTTTTTCTCTCTCTCTCTCTCTCTCTCTCTCTCTCGCTCTCTCTCTCTCTCTCTCTCTCTCTCGGGAGCGTTGCCCCTTCACAGGGAGCACGCTTCCCGACATAGCAGCCGCCCGTCAGGGCCCATTTCGGCCCGACCGATCCGATCCGATGTCGAGCTCAACCCTTGGCATCGCTGGGGCGTGTGCATTTCCTCCCGGCGAGGACCATCTGGGCCATTTTGCGAACGAATACACGCACGAAGCCGAAACATGCACGGGGAATGGACGTCCGAGCGATGGCGAGAACCAGATCGGTCCGATCCGACCTCGGGTTCTTGGCGATCCGATGTTGCCCGATGCTCGCATGGCGTTGTGGTGCATTCTGGCGCGGCCGATCCGAATCGGCTCCGACTCCGTGCCGATGCGCCTCGATCCGAGGCACCTTCTGATTCGATCCTTTTTCCTCGGGGGTGGACAGACCCCCACCCTGACACGTCGATTAGTGAATTGTCCATTTTCGGTTCTCGAGAGGGCACCTCGGCCGTCATTTTCCAGGCTTGCGCCCGCCAGGTTTGGGCCCGAGGTCGCTGTCACTAAACCACGTTTTACTAAAGTGGGTTCTGTCGGTCTCCGATTTCCCGATTCGATGCCGCCCGATCTTGCCCACCGCAAGGACGAGGTGATTACCCAAGTGCAACATTGTATCCTTGCCTCTTCGGCCAACCCTTACCCGTGTTCCTCGACCCTTCGCGCACCCAGCGGCGATTGTACGCATCCTTCACACCTTCGTCCACAGCTATTTGGCTTCGACCGCTTTTGTTAACGAAACCGAGCACCTCGGGGGCCGTCTGCCAACCCGCCGGTCTTCGCGTTGTCAGGCCACGGAGCCTTGCACCCGAGGGATGGTCTTCCCGCAGCGCTCACCCGCACGTTCCACATGCGACCCCGAGTTCCCTGGAGAGAAGGAGGCATGGCTCGTGGCCGCGGATCCATGCAGCCGAGAGGTGGCATTCCCGCAGCGCGCGCCCGCCAACTCCGCGTGCGACCCCGAGGTCCCCAGTGAGAAGGGGGCCCAGCTCGTGGTGCCCAGGATCGGGGGACGCCTGGCTATGGGCATTCACTGATCCTGACTGGGCAAATCCAAGGCCCAAGTTCGCTGTGCATGCCGTCTTGGCTAGACCAGGAGGGCGTATACGCGTGTCGAAAACGCCTACGGCGAATCGCCGCCGCCCCCTGCCTTTTTGAAAAGCGCCTCTGTAGCCAAACGTTTTTGGGTCCAGAGCTTGGATAAATTATCGGACCAGGTGTTCCCCGAGCCGCTGTGGGAATATGTCGGGGAACGCTTAGAGGAGAATGAGGTGGAGGAGGAGAGCGAGAAAAAGGGGGAGGGAGGAGGAGCCCTCTTGTGAGCCTCTTGGGGCATTCTTGGGGCCTTTTGGGAGCTTCCTGGGGCCTCTTGGGGGCCCTCTGTGGCCCTCTTGGAGGCCTCTTGAGGCCGTCTGAAGCCATCGGAAGCCGCATTGGGGGCATCTCTGAACCGACCTTTGGGGCACTCGTGTGGCGCTTCAGACCGTCTTGGAGGACATCTTGAGCGTCTTGGAGGCCTCTTGGGCCGTCTTGGGGCCCTCTTGGTGCTGTCTTGGAGGCTTCTTGGGCCGTCATGGGGCCATCTGAGAGGCCTTTGGGACCATGTTGGGGCGATCTTGGCGGCCTCTTGGGCTGCCTTGGGCCGTCGGAAGGCCGAAAAGAAGCAAAAGCCAAAATCCTTGGAAAAACACCGAAGGCAAATGAATAATGTTGGCATCTTCGGGCACTTCTGGAGTACCTCTTGGAGGCCTCTTGGGCCGTCTGGGAGACCTTTTGGAGGCCTCTGGGGCTGCCTTGAGCCGTCTTAGAAGCTTCTGGGGCGAATTTGGAGCAATCTTGGACTCTCTTGGCCGTCTTTGGGATCATCTTGGAGCCATCTGGAGCAGGAAAAACCTGTACAATTGGCTCGAACGCAGCCTTCCGGGTGGCTGGCGGCATCGGCCGAAGCCCCAGGGGGAGATTTGTTGGAAAAAACCCAAACCAAGCCGTGAGACGTTCAGCACGCCGGGCACCCTTATGGCAACACCACAGGGGGTGGCGGATCCAGTGGCCTGCGGCCCATCCCGCCTCCGTGCTTGGGTCGGGGGCAAGAGGCTTCTTTTGGGGGAGGGGGGGGGGCTCTTGAAGGCGCATGCTGGCAATCTCTGGACCCCTCTGTGTGTGGTTATCGGGTCCACTGATGGGGGCTCTCTTGAGCAGTCTTGGACGCTCTTACACGGGAAGGCGAGGATGCGCAATTCATGCAGAAATTTACGCTCTTGGGCCAGCGCCCAAGGCTCTGTGGGATTACATAACATACTTACGTAATTGCATGTGTTGCGGAAATTTTGCGGTGTGGGTTTGTTGTGCAGTTCAGTGCAATGACGGGCCGGGTACACCATATGACGTATTTGCATGTGATGCTATGCCCTGACGTTACGTGTGGGGCCGGGAGGGACCGCTCCTGAACAACGGTCGCCGCAGCTCTTCGAGTTGCGTGGTGTCCTCACACGCCGAAGGATTGGGGACACCAAGATGTTTCAAGAGGCCCCTACCAGGGCCTCAGGCAGGCTCCCTAGGAATGTAGGGAAGTCTCACACGAAGCCACATGAGCACCAAGAAGCGTCCAGCAGCGCCTAAGAATTGCGTGAGTTGGAAGTTAGGAGGTTTTGCAAGAGCACCTGCACTATTTTCAAGATTCTATCCAGGAGTCTACGGATCCTCAGGATACTCCACTCAGTGCCTCGCAGCACGGATCTTGGAACCCAGGATGGGCTTGGCCACGATCCGTGTCAGTGTAATAGTTGGCGTCTTCCTGCAGGACCTCCATGCGGCCGCGAATGGCCTGGGCGGACATGGGCTCGGACAGCGAATGCGCCAGCTTCGAAAAGCGGGCGTCGGAGGTGTCGACGCAGCCAGGCAGCAGTTGCCGCAGCGTCGGGCTCGCCAGCCTGGCGCCGCTGGACGGAGGCGACAGCGGCGGCCTGCCCGGCTGGACGCGCGGTCACGTCGAGCTGGTCGAAGGAGGCGGTCCGACGCGCGGCTCGGCCCAGGCATGCACGGGCCAGTCGAGCAGCCCCGTGGTGACGCCGCACCGGTGGAAGCTCAAGAACCGAAAGGTTCGGCTACGCGTGAGGGCGGCCTTTCGCCAGAGTGGCCTTCGTTTGGTGCGGGGCCGCTGGGGTCCCCCGATCGCCGAGTGCGGTGCGATGTCAGCGGTTTGCGCGCTTGGGTTTTGGCCCCCCTCGCCCCCCCCCCCCTACAGCCGCGCACCAGAGGTCACTCCTGCCCCGGGTCACTCCTGCGTGCAGCCGGAAGGTCTATGAGCGCGACGGGAAGCTCGGCATTTGGCTCGGCGCCAGCGCGGAGGCCCCTTCCGCGGCGCGGCCCGGCGAGGGCGGCGACTCGTGGGCGGCCACGCCGTGCGGCACGGAGTGGTTGGCGCCGCGGCGCTTCGGGCCTGGAGCCGCTCCGTCGCGCCACGGCGTCCGGCAGCTGCAGGAGACCGAGGAGAGTGCCGAGCTTACGCGGCCAAGTTTAAGCGTACAGCCGATGGGCAACTTCGTTTTACCTCGGAGTGGCCGCGGCGACGCGGACGACGAGGGGCTGGTTTCAGGGCCTCACATCCCGCTGGGCGAGAGCGGTGAGTTCGCATCGGTGGGATCCCTCAAGCACGTCGAGGGTTCCTGTAAGCCGTGCGCGTTCGTGTACACCCCGATCGGTTGCAAGCTGAACGTGCGGTGTGCGTTTTGCCACGTGCTTCACAGAAGGAAGGAAAGACGGAGGCTGGGGAAGAAGAAGCGAGAACGCTACCAAGACTTGGTCTCCCAGGTCGTTCGCAGCAACCAAAGGCAAGAGGCGGACTGGGAGTGCCACTGGCAGACGGGGCGGTGCCGGGATAGTCTGTCGAGGTGGGGGCTATCGCGGCGCGATGATGCCGAGTTTCTACCCGACATTTGGTGCAAATCTGTAACTGATATGTAGTCCATTGTTAATATGCCTCCACATGGAGCGTTCCAGCACTAAACCATCACTCGATTGGACATCGTCTCCGTGTCGGCACTCCGTCTAGCCAACGCAGGCACCGATGGGATACGTCAGAACGCGCCGTATGCACGTTTAGATATAGGTTCAAGGGGCGCGCATCTGCGCTTGTCCTGGGCACCGTTCGGCCAAATGCCGAACGCTTCAATTCAGGAAGGGCGCGCGTGTGCTGATCGTGGACACCGTTCGGCCAAATTCTGTACAGGGATTTGGCACTGTGCCAGTGCCAGGGCCTCAACGCGGTTTTGTTTTGCTATATTCAGAACGGTTTGCATCGTTCGTCCGAAGGCGTGCGTCGACTGAATGTCGCCATGATTTGACACGGCGTGGTCTCAACCTATTTGTCGATTGAGGAGCATTTTCCGAATCGATATTGCAGAGTTCTTCTGCTAATCGATCAGATACGGGTTCCGTCGTGTCGTGTTGACAGCGGATGCTTGCACGCCTGCCCTGTTTCAGTGTTCCAGCAGGCGTCGCAGCAACGAGCATCAAGATGCTCGCATGAGCTGCCAGGCACGAAGGGTACCGTGGATGCATCTGCTTGTGTTCGTCACGGTGGAGGCAAAGAATCGCCCGCCATCAGCGCGGCGGATCAGCGGGTTGCCGACAGGGCAGGAGTAGCGAGTATTTTCAGTCATCGAGTCTACGCTACACGTCTGGTGTAATGATTTCAAGTATCCACGGGTAGAGTCAAGTTCGTCCGAGGGCGAATTTTTCACGCGTCGCGTCTCAGCGCCAGCCCGTTCAGAAACCCTGCCCATGAGAGTTGACGGGACAAAGGACGAAGAGACATGCATTGAAACAAAGCGGGCAAGCAGGATGAACACAGAGATCTTTGGAAGCAAGGGGATCGTTTTGGAAGGCGTCTTCGGGCCATCCCTGGGGCCCGCGGGGAGGGGGGGGGCGAGGGAGGAGGAGGAGGAGGAGGAGGAGGAGGAGGAGGCAAACCGTCTTCTGGGGCCCTCGTGGGATGCTTTGGGGCCGCTCTTGCACGCTATTGGGGGCCCTGTGGGGCTCTCTTGGGGTTATTCTGCTACCCTTCTCGAGGCTGTGTAAGGCCTCTTGGGGCCATCTTGTAGGACGTCGACGATCAAAAGCCTCGATTCCCCTCCCTCCCCTCCCGCTGGGGGCATCGAAGTCGCCTCTTGGGGCGCCTCTTGGGCCGCTCTCGGGGCCGTTTGGGGGGGTGGGACTCTTGTGCCCCTTATTGGGGCTCTCGGCCATCGTGAGGCCTCAAAGCGCATCGGAAGCGAAAGTGCTGGAAGGCAAGAATCATTGAAGTCCCTTGGGTGCTCGAAGGATGTTGGCCTCCTGGGGGGCTCCGAGAGCACTTGGAGCCGTTGTGCGGCCCTCGTCGGGCCTCCTGGAGGTGTGTCGAAAGCCATCTTGAACCATATTCGGTAATCTTGAAGGCCATCTTGGAGGCTGTCTTCTAGCATCGGATGCCCTCTTGAAGCGATCGTGTGCCGTCTTGGACGCTCTAGCCCCTCGGGCCCCCTCCAAAAAAATCTCAGGGAGGGGAGGGGGAGGGGACCCCTCCCCGAAGGGAAGAGGGTTTGGGAAGAGGAAAGGCAGAACTCGTTAGACCACCTACGCCCAGAGGGTTGGTGGGATTCGTGTCTTTCGGCACCCTTGCATGCTTCGCTCGATACTTGTATATCACATCCCAATTCTAGGGCCCAGCGTCCTGATACTCGCCCGTATTCCCGAATCCGTCAGCAATAGGTGTGGGTCCCACTTGAGATTTCAAGCTCTCCGATAATTTGGGCGCGCGATTTTCGCTGCTCGCGCTGCTCACCTTCACCACCCCCTGTGACCGCCGCTCGTGCTCGTGATCTCGTCCCGTTCCTGCTCGTCCTTCTCACTCACGTATGCCCGAGAGCGGCAACAATAGTTTGCACCCCGCGTGAAATCTGGTTTCTGCATCTGTCGACCGCAGCTCCGTCAATGGCAGGGCATCGTGCTGATATGGCACCGAGGTCGAATGTGTTGCAGATGTGGTAAGGAGTTGGTTACGTCCGCCCATGTGGTTGGATACCACAGGGTTGCGATCCCTACATAAGTTGTCCAGAACGCCTATATGGCAAGGCACCGCCGCCCAATGCTTTTTTGGAATCACCAACGTAAGCTTTCAGTTTGGCCAAGCCACCAGATTCTGTGTTCCACCAGCCGTTGCGAATCCAATTGAGGGTCACTCGGGCCAAGGTTTCTAGCATGTTTGCGCATTCGGGGCCACCTAATGTGTTTATGGTGCACTCCGAGACCATAGTATGGGACCTCGGGGTTGTTCTGGCGGCCTCGGAGGCCCGCTGTGTGGGCGTGTAGGTGCCCCGCAGATGAATATTGGGCCATCCACAAGCCATCTGGGGCCATATTGGGAGCCTCTCGGTCACATATGAGGTCATCTTGGGCCTCTCTTAGGTCGTCTTATCTTGGGACCCTACTGGGCCGCCACTGTTGGGCCCTCTTGGAAACATCTTGGACCGAATAGCCTGAGAGGTGGAAATTAAATATTGAAAACAGTCTAGTTTCAAATGTGTTGTTGGCCGTCAGCGGGCTCTCTGGAAGCCCTCTTTAGGTCTCTGAGGGCCCACTCGGTTGCTGCTGGGGCCTCAAATGCAATATTGGGCCTCTCGGAGGCTTCAGGGCCGCTTTGGGAGCATGTTTGGCCGTTTGGGCTGCATTTCGGGAGACGGCTCCGTGCCAACAAGGGAATGGATCAGGCAGGCGGCGACAGTAGCTGGAGGGTTGAGGTGAGGTTCTGGAATGATGCAAGATTTTCTTGTGTCTGGCACCATCAAGTCAGTCCGTGGTGAGGCCAAATCGGTCAGCAGATCGAACGCATGCGTCGTGTCACCGCCACCACTTTGCCTTGTCTTGTTGGAACGGAACCGCCAACGTTGGCAATCAAAGATGCCCTAAGACGCTCCAAGACAGTCCAAGAGGTCCCCAGAGTCCTCCAAAGACGGCCCAATTGGGACCCAAGATTGCCCAACAGGACCATTGTGCACAATACGTTGTGCCCGAAACAGATTGTACGAGGGTTCGTGGCCATGGGAGCGAATATCTTTCATATTTCATGAGCGTTCGTCTACGATCGCGAAATTTAAGACCCTGCAATGCTGGCGTGGCATGTAAGCCCCTCGAAAAGGCGCCAGGGGGAGGCTTGCACAGAGTTACACGGCAAGGATACCGCAAGCATATGTCTAATACATGGCTGCAAAAGATAGTTCGATTGTGCAACGTGATCTTCACAGCCTGGAGGCCCCACAGCGGGTTGCCACTGCTCAGCGCGATACTGACAATATTGTCTGCTCAGCCGCGACTGCATGACACCCTCCTAGGGGACAGGGTTCGGGATCACCTATCCCGTTGCATCCTGAGGCATGGAGCGCAACAGAAAACCACAACGCAACTCGACGAGGGTATCGAAGGAGGAAGAGGAGGGGGAAGAGGAAGAGGAGGAGGAAGAGGAGGTTGCCGCGGATATCCGACCCGCCTGTTTTGAGTGCAGGATTCGAGGTCCCCCCCATGGGCGTAAGGATAATCGCGCTTCGCGCGTCGCGGCTTGGGCTGGAAAGCTGCCCAGCGCGAAGGTACCCGCGCGTCGCGCATCGCGGGTCGCGGTGCGCGAAGGTGGATGACCCAGCTCGGTTGGGAACCGTCAGTCCAAATCCGAGCCGAGGGCAGCGGTGTGCCGCAGCCGGCCGGCCAGCGCACTCGGCGGGCGCTAGAACGCACTGGGCGGGAGTTGCGGCACGCCGGTGGGGCACGGCGGCGGCGCTTGGCGCACCCTTGCGCTCCGCAGGGATCGCCGCGGTGTCTCCGGCCGAGGGGTCGGGCTCGGCTCGCCGGTGGCCCCGCAACGGGCGGGGCGGGGCGGGGCGCGTGCTGGAGCGTGGCGTCTGCTCGCGGCGGGGGCTTACGGGCGATGCCCCCGCGGCGACTGCTTCTTCGGACGCGGAGTCGGCTGGCGATCTTCCGTCCAGCGACTCAGCCGCACCGTGCCGAGTTCCAGGGACGGTGGTGTGGATCGCGATTCTGCCGACCGCGTCGCTCACGGCCGTGGTCGGCTGGAGGCCCGCCACCGTGCGCGGCGCCTACTTGGGCAGCAGCAGCATCAGCAGCCGCTGGCGAACCGGCGCTCCCTGGAGGCGGGGGGCGTCCAAGGGTAGTGCGGTTCCCGGCGGCGGCGGCGGCGGGGGGGCCTTCGGACGAGCGCAGGGGCATGACGAGCAGCAGGGGCAGCGGGAGGAGCAGGGATAGCAGCTGGAGCTGGAACAGCAGAGGACTGAGCACGCAGAGCACAAGGGGAACGGAGCGACGAGGAGGAGCTCCGCGGGTGACTTGCGTGCGCATCCTCCCCAGTTGCTGAGTTCAGACTGCTATCCAGCGAGCAGCCAGGGGTCTTCGCGCCGAGTGTCGCATTTTTGCAGGTGGGATTAACCCGCAACTGTTGTCCACCTCGGCGGTGTCTTTGGTTTGGGGGGCCCTCACGCGCGGTACCCAGCCTTCCTGCGCGCCGCTCTGCCTCGCCCAGCTTTCCTGCGCGGCGCCCAGGCTCGCCCCTCTGAACGTCTGCAGCCGCTCCTCCTGCCTTTTTACGCGGACATCCTCAGATCACGAGCGCACAGGAGTTCGCAGGGTTGCGAGCGCCAGCAGCAGCGGCTGAAGCCACCGAAGCCCCCAGCGCCTTCCTCGTGGCCTTCATGCGGCCATCACCAGGCCACGAGCGGGCAGAAGCCTGCGCAGGGCTCGGCGGCCTGCCCTTCCTCTCTGGGCGCCTGGGTCGGGCGGTGGCACTTGGGAGGTTCCCGGGGCCTCTGTAGGCCCCCAGGGTCCCCAGAATTGCCAGAGGCGGCCAAACAACTTATCTGCCGTCGAGGTTCAAGTAAGAGGAGGTGGTGGGAGTGTGGAGTGCAGTGCATGGCGGGCATCCGAGTCCACCTCTCGGTGTTGCCGTCTGCCCCGAGGCCAGGCGGCCGCGGGGTTCATGGGGCTGCTCTTTCTAATCCGGCGTTTTTTGTCCCATTTCCCTGGGTAGCCAGCGCCTTCTCCCCCTCTTCCCCCAGGGGGGGGAAGGGAAGAAGAGGGCGGAGGGACGATGACGACGAAAACAACGACGGCAAAGGCGACGAAGGCGACGACGGCGAAGTCGAAGATGATAAGCGAAGAAAGCGACGACGACGGCGACGGCGACGACAATGACAGCAGCGAAAGCGACGACAACACGACGGCGACGACGACGACGCGGCCGACGAAAGCGACGACGACAACGACGACGCGGCCTCGTCTTGGCTCGAGACGCGCGGCCAGCCTCCCGCCTCTGGCGCCTGCCGCCGCCTAGACCCTCGCGGGTCGGAGGCCGCCCGCATTTGAGCGCGACGCTTCCCTTCGTTGTAGCCGTATGTCGTCGCCGTCATCCGTCGTCGTCGCTGGTCGACCCTGCTTTTGCAGCGTTGGGAAAGCTTCACAAACAACGGCACGCTATCCATTGTTGCTGCCGTCGTGGGTTTCGCAAGCCTCCAGTCTGTCTCTCGGCCGCAACGCACATTCATCTTGGGGACGTGGTGCCATGGCTGGTTCACCACCCGTTGGATGCACGAGCCTGCTCGTCATGCGTGTTACATGTGCGGATTGACTGCTACGGACCAGCGGCAATTCTTCGAGCGCGACACTTTCTGGCAGCTCTTGGTGGACTGGCCCAGACGGTCTCCCTCTTTGCCTCGGGAGCGATTAGGGTTGTGTTCGAAGGTGGGTCGGTTGCGCACGGCTACGGCTCATAAGCTATTTCACAGTAGGAGCAGTCGGCTGTGCGCCACAGCGCCGTCTGCGACGCGCGCCGCGCCCGCTCTGACCTTCTCTGATTAGCTGTGGACCCCCCCGCGGTGATCCGTGATCCGTCGTCGTCGTCGTTGTCGTCGTCCGTCGTCCGTGGTTCCGACCGTCTGTCCGTCGTCCGACGCCGTCGTGATTTTGGATCCTTGATCCCTCCCCTCTTTTCTCTCCTCGTCCTCGAGCTCCTCCCTCCGAGGACAAGAGCGGGAGGAGGAGGATGAGGGGGAGGAGGAGGCGAGCTAGGTGCGTTCACGCCATATCCAGTATCATACCCCTCCCAACTATCCCTTTCCTTTGCGCTGATACGTTCTCCATCCGCCAACGCGTGTCATAGCGGATCTGGAACTCTAAAAGGACCCCATCGTGTTATGCGCAATCGGAAAAGGGGAGTTGCGTGCATTGGAGGAGGAGGTGGCGAATGAGCTGGAGGAAAAGCAGGAGGGGAAGGAGGAGAGAGGAGGAGGAGGAGGAGGAGGAGGAGGAGGAAGGAGGAAGAAGAGGACGAGGAGCAGCAGCAGGAGCTGGAGTGGAAGGAGCAGGACGAGCTGGGGAAAGCGGAGGAGGGGAAGGAGGGGGCGACGATGACGAGGAAGGAGCCGGATCTAGAAAAGTGACCCGCGCGGGGGCGAGAGCGCCATTCCGAACAACGGAGGCAAAGCGACGATCCTTAAATGAGACTAACGCTGCAGCGGGAGCACCATGTTGAAACACCGAGGACGCTCCGATGGGGCATAAAAAAGCCAGGCGAAGGACCCAACCACATGCAGTTGCGAGTACCGTCGTTGTGGGTACCGCCTTCGGTGGAGCTCTTTGTGGGGCCACGAAACGTGTGAGGGGTGTGCAACATGGGTCTCGCGAGCGCATGCGAGCTGCGCGATTGGGGCGTTCGGTGGAGACCCCTTGATTCTTACGAGGGGTGTGCCGAAAGGGGCAGGGCGGACGCATGCGGGCTGCGCCAATGGAACAGTCGGTGGAGCTCCTTCTGGGGCCACACAACGTGTGAGGGGTGTGCCGAGATGGGCGTATGAAGCCGCGAAACGTGTGAGGTGTGGGCCGACATGAAATTGGCGGGCGCATGCGGGCTGCGCCATTGGGGCCTATGGTGGTGTGAGGCCACGAAACGTGTGACGGGTGTACCGAGATGGATGGGGCAGACGCACGCGGGTTGTGCCAGTGGGACTTTCGGTGGGGTTCCCTGTGGGGCCACGAAACGTGTGATGGGTGTGCCGACATGGGCGCATGCGCGCTGCGCCAGTGGGACTTTCGGTGAAGCTTCATGTGGGGCCACGAAACGTGTGAATAGAATGCCGACATGGGTGGGGCGGACACATGTTGGCTGCGCCAGTGGGAGTTTCGGTGGACCTCCCTGTGGGGCCACGCAACGTGTGAGGGGTGTGCCGACATGGGTGGGCCGGACGCATGCAGCAGGATCCGCCAATGTGACCTTCGGTGGAGCTCCTTGTGGGGCCACGAAATGTGTGAGGGGTGAACCGAAATTCGCCACTGGGACCTTCGGTGATATTCGGTGGAGCTCCTTGTGGGGCCACAACACAAAAAAGGGGGGTGTGCCGAAATCGGTGGCGCGAACGCACGCGGGCTACGCCAGTGGGACCTTCTGTGGAGTTCCAGATGAAGCCACGAAACGTGCAAGGGGCGTGCCGACATAAATGGGTCGGACGCATGCAGGCTACGCCTATGGGACCTTCGGTGGAGCTCCCTGTGGGGCCACGAAACGTGCGAGGGGTGTGCCGAGATGCGTTTCGGGGGCCATCGGTGGAGTTCTTTGTGGGACCACGAAACGTATGAGGTGTGTGCCGACATGGGTGGGGCGGACGAATGCGGACGGCGCCATTGGAACTTTCGGTGGGGCTTCCGATGGGGCAACAATAGGTGTGATGGGTGTGCCGACGTGGCAGACATGCGGCGGGCAGAGGCAGGGATGGGAGGAGGGGGGGAAGGGAAGAGGAGAGGAGACGCGGGGCACTGACTCTTCAAAACGAGGACCTGGCACCACAGGATATCACAGGATGATTAGGGAAAACAGGAAATACCGCATGACGAAATCCTGCGTGTATAAAACCATTCGCGGGGAGGCCCCGGCATTTTCCAGATAGAATCAGAAGAGAAGGGAGAGAACCACTCATACAAAGCAATTGTGCGTGAATTTCAAGGGGGTGAAGGGGAGGCGGGGCACGAGGAGGAGAGGAGGAGGAGAGGAGCAGGAGGAGGAGGAGGAGGAGGAGGAGGAGGAGGGATGAGCACGTAAATGGAGGAGGAAGGGGCGACAACGGAGGAGGAATGGACGAGAATTGAGGAGGACGGGGTGAGAACGGAGGAGGAAGGTGGAAGGAGGAGGAGCAGGAGGAGGAGGAGGAGGAGGAGGACGTGGTGGAGAAGGAGGAGGAGGAGGAAGAAGAGGAGGAGGCAATGCATGAGCAAGAGAGAGGGAGGGGAGTCCCCTCCTCCTCCTCCTCCTCCTCTCTCCTCCTCCTCCTCCTCCTCCTCCTCCTCCTCCTCCTCCTCCTCCTCCTCCTCCTCCTCCTCCTCCTCCTCCCCCTCCTCCTCCTCCTCCTCCTCCTCCTCCTCCTCCTCCTCCTCCTCCTCTGTCATCATCCTCACCATCGTCAATTATCACCCTGCCCCTGTTGATCATCATCCTCCGCCCCCCTTGTCCCTCCTCCCTCATCGTCTTCCTCCTTCCTCGTTCCCCCCCCCCCTCCGTCCCTCCTCCAGCCCGCCCACCCAATTAACTACTTGCCCCCCTCCCTCGCTGCCTCTGGTGTCCCAGGCCCCCGCCGCGAGGAAGCCCGATGGCCCCCTCGGCGCGACTCGCGCTGGCCGCTGGCGGGCGCCTCGGGCGGAGAGGGTGGGCCTTGGAGGTCCTCCGCCCTACCCGTTCCTCCATCCCTCCCTTCCTCCTTCCTCTACTCATTCGTACATCTTCCTCTCCCTCACTTCCTTCCTGGTCATCATCCTCCCTCGCGTTCCGTCCGTAGCTATCTTGGCTCAAGCCATGTTGATTCAAAGAGTACAGTGGCCGCTGCCTCCGCGGAGTTCCCCGCAGGTGGCTGCCCGGCCAGGGGTTTTCCGATCTTCTTGTTTCATTACACGATACCACACACTCCTCACTGCACACTTTGTGTACCGAGAGGCGCCTACGTTGCTGCGCTCTGGGGTGCCGCCCTTGTCTTTTTTTGTTGTCACTGAGAGCTGTCCCGATGGCGGTGGACGCTGCGCAGCCACGCCTTCTCATGGGCGAGGCGCTGAGTCCAATCAACAAGCAACTTGGCGAGATGAGGGCAGCCATGAACACCAGCATGGCGAACATTAGCAGCCACGACGTTCTCCTCACCGCAGGGATCCAGCAGAACACCGCGGCGCTCGAGCAAGTGACAGAGGACATCAAGGCCCAGAGCGATCGGATGGACGCAGCGATGGACGCTGAAGGCACGGCTTCCACAGACTCGACCTCGACAGTACTTCAGACTCTCGAAGCCAAATATTCTGAACTACAGCGCCAGTTTGCTGGACGACCTGCATGCGTGGACCTGCTGACATCGCACGCACGGTTCGCAGCAGGCTTTGCTCGCCCAGGGGGCTCCTCTGCACATACTAGAGCATCGCCGAAGCCCTCTGCCCCTGCGGACAAGACCAAACTCTGGGTCCGAGGATTCCCGAAGAAGCAGCTAAAGGCGGCAGTCGAGCGGCATTTCAGCATCGTGAAATCATTTATGCCAGGCCAATATAGGGAGAAGTATGTGCCCGCGTGCCAGGGTCTCCGCTATGACTACGCCATCAAGTTAGATAACGTCGAAGACGCCAAAGCCATCTATGAGCACGGATCACACGATCCGGCTCACGCAAGCCTCGCTGGGAATGCGCCACTACCTGAGGATTGGCTCCGACGAGCCGTGCGACATCAAGAGGGAGGGCTACCATTCCCGGCCTGATCCGGAGGCATATCCAGGCCCACATGCGCGAGAACCCCCGCTGGACAGCCAGCGCCGCCCCCGCCTGCGACAAGTTACAGGCTTGTGCTACACGACCGCGAACGACGAGCCCATCGAGCTGGCGGCCCCCGCCCCGTGGTCAGAGACGTCGCCGCTTAGCAGGTGCAGGACTTGCCCGCCGCAGCGAACAACAACGCTCACCACGCGCAGGGAACTCATCCGCAGGACTCTGCTGGCGAGGAGCCAGCTGCCATGCCCTGTCTTTACCCGCGCCGTGGACTTGCGCCCCCGCCCCTTTTCTCGCAGCCACGGCAAGCGTTTCAAGAGCAGCGTCTGCCTGCCCCCCCCCCTGCGCCAATGGCAGCAGCGCAGAGATTCCTCGCGAATGCCCGTAGCAAAGGAGGTAGCCCTCCTCGGTCAGCACATGGAATCCGCGAGCACGCCACGGCAACGCGCATGGCGAACCAGCTCGGCAAAGGAAGCAGATTCGCAAGTTCCGACCTCCCTTGAAGTCTCACGCTATCGCGCGCACGCAATAAACACATGGAACGCGCGCCGATCCATGAAACCCTTTGCAGGAACTTCACTTCACACGCGCACTTTGGATCTGTCCGCGCCAACCCGAACGCGGGGAAGGGGGGGGGGGGGGCGTCACCGCCAGCATCGCCAACCCCTTTTCATGCCAGCGTCGCGTCTGTCGAGCCCTACCAGCACGCGCGCGGCCGCCCCCCCTCGCTCGTCATCCGAGGACTTTCTGGGAAGCTCAAGCTTTCTAGCGCCCACCTAGACCGCGCCCACGCGATGAACCATGAGGCCAGCACTCGGCCCCCAAGCAACGACGGCCTAACCTTCGCGGCAGGTGGCCTTGACCTTCTGGAATCAGGAGGGGCCCGCATCGGGACCGACGGCGAATCCCCGCGGCCGGGGCCCCCAGCGCAACCGCGCAGAGCCAGCGAAGTCGCCCCTTCCTGCGCCCGAGCTCGCTCGGGAAGGGCCCACCCATCTATCGGGGAATCTAGCAGATGGGGTTCGCTCTCCTGGCGGAGTCGATCGGGCGCGCGCCTTCGGCCCCGCAGCGGCCATTCGACGCCGAGCACGTCGTTGGAACCGCTGGGCGCGCCCCGACAGCCGGGCCCAGCAATCGCGCGCCAGTCTCTGCCGGGCCCTGCCTGGGAGTTCGCGCCACCACTATTCTTGGGCGGCTCGCCCCGCATTCCGGATATGCCGATCTAGATGACGGCGCGCAAGACCAGGTCGAAACACCCGGTGATCCCCTCTTCGCCTCGCAGAAGTCAAGGAGCGCACGCGCATCGCCAGTTAAGAGATCAAGCCGCGCATGCACAGGTATGGAGTAGAGACTGACACGCATCATCTCACGGCACGCATCAAATGCACGCTCGCAAGCACGGGCGCGAAGAAAACGGGCATCCGCAAATTCGCACGAGCAAATGACGAACAAGCACAGTTCACGGACGATCGGCACGAGCACATCCTAGATCAGGAGCGAACGCACGAACACCTTCGCATGATCCAGGAGCGCATGCCAGAATTGAGCGTCGCGAGCACAAGCAGTCTCACGAGCATCAGTTCGACGACGAGCGCGCTGCCAGGCTGCGCAAGCATTCGACGACATGGTCGCCGAAGAACAGGCGCGCCCCTTTCGCGGGCAGATTGCGCCGACGGGCACGAGCCCACCAGTCCGGACGACAGCGCCGCCCGCCCCGCTGCGCACTGGGGCAAGGTCCGCGCCGCAGCTGATGCAACGCGCGGGCCCCGGCACACATCCGACGTGCAGCTTGGGCGCTACCAGAGAATTTCGCCCGGCATCGAGTGGGCAGCCCCCCTCTCCGACGCGCCGGGTGTTCTGCGTCGCAAGAGAGACCCCGCGGCCGGCTCAGACGGGGCCCCATGCTCGGGGAGGGGCAAAAACAGTTAGATGCAATGAGTTCCTGTGTAACGCACACCTCAGGCGCACGTCGCGCCACGCTTCCCCGCCCGGGTGCAACCGCGAGACCGCCGTTTTTCCCGGCGAGAAACGTCGACCATGATCTCCTGCTCGGCGCAGAAGAGAGCTGCGGAGATTCGGCCGCAGTTCATAGGGGGCGCCGACCATGAGATCTGATCATCGCCCCCATGCATCCCTTTTGGCCAGCAAGCTCAGCATTCGCCGCGCAGATCACACGCGCCTCATGGAAGGTTGCAACATGCTCGATAGTACCGCGCAGAAAGAGACAGGTGTTCTAGAGCATACCATCATTCAAGATACTACGAAAGCGGGGCTGTTCCCGATCGATTTCGCTGCCGCGTTCCCACGTAACACGCGCTCGGGTTCTCATAATATCAACGCCCAAGATACTTCTGCATAGTTCACCCATGCCACTCAGCATCTGCATCGTGGCATCTTAGATATATATATATATATATATATATATATATATATATATATATATATACATATATACATACATACATATACATATACATATATATATATATATATATGCCCGTATACAGACTTCTATGGCCATGCCATTTCCCGTGAAACGTGAAACGCACGCCGTCTTCCGTTCCAGAGCTGATCTGGCTCAAAAGCATGTGTTTCCTGGCCTTGAGCCAGAGAGTGAGGCCCTCCCCCTCGCCGCGCCTCGGGGTGCCGCCCATTGCTGCCCGAGGTGTGAGGGGGGGCCGTCCGCCTCGGCATCGCGCGGCCCTGCCGCACGCTTGGCGGGGCAGGCGCCCACGGCGGCCGCGGGGCTGGAGGCCTATGGCCGAAGCCGCGAGAGCCGAGGGCGGCGCGGTGGACGCGGAGGGCCTCATCAGCGAGGAGGAGGGGCTCGACGGGGGCGAGCGCGCGCCGTCTCCCGACGGCGCTGCCGCTGCGGCAGCCGAGCCCGAGCCGATCGTGCCCGAGGAGGTGTGCCGGAGCACGGGGTGGAACGCGCAGGGCCAGGAGCAGTGCACCTTCTACTGGATGGCGGCGCGGGTCGCGGAGGGCCCCGAGCTGTTCGTCAGGGCGCGGCTCCTGTTCAGCGACGACGCCTACTGGGACTGGTGGGCCTCGAACGCTGGAGCGCCAGGCGCGATCAAGGCGTCGTTCCTGCTGCACGTCTGCCAGGACGTGCCCTGCGACGTCCAGCCCCCCCGTGCGTGCGAGGAGCTGGCCCACGCGACGGGCGCCGCGCGCCTGGGCCGAGAGGAGGTCGAGGCTGCCTTCGACGAGTGCCACGCGAGCAATCCAGAGGCGGCGCGGCCCGCGCAGCTCCTTTGGCCGCGCGGGGGCGGCGGCGGACGCCCCCCTGCTCTCCGCCGCGGCGAGCGCCCGGCGCTTGCGAGAGGGCCGCCTGCCAGACCCTTCGACGAGCTCTTGGAGGGCCAGGCTCTCGCCGAGCTCGAGGCGGCGCCGTCGGGCCAGCCCGCGCTCCGCGAGGCCCTGCAGAGAAAGCTGCAGTCCGCGAGGGTGCGCTTCGCCGACGCGGCGGGCCCCGCGAGGGCAGGCGCGGCTGCTGCTGCGGGCCCAGGCGCCCCCGCCGCGGCTGCCAAGCCACCGAAGCGCGGTCTCGCGGACATCTTGGCCGAGAGGGCTGGGAAGGCCGCGAAGGTGGCTGCGGCCCCTGGAGGCGAGGGGGCCGCGGCCGCCGCGCGCGGCGCCGAGGACGGGGCGAGCGGCGGCGTGCAGCAGCTAGCCTCGGCGCTGATGATGGCCCTGAAGTCGATGGCGGCACAGGCGGCAGGCGGCGCCGAGTCCTCCGCTGGCGCAGATCTGCTCTCGGGGGCGGACGGCGCCGACCTGCCGCGAGGGCTGGCAGCGAAGCGGGCGCACTGCAGGAAGCTCGCGACGGAGTGTCCGGGCAGGCTGTCGGAGCTCACCCTCGACGAGATGGCGTCGTTCCTGGGCGGCCTCGAGGGGGAGACGTCGGTGGACCCGTCGTCGGCGATCGCGCTGCGATACCTCCTCACAGTCTACCTGCCGCAGAATCCGGTGGCGCAGATCGGCTCCGAGGCCTACCGCGAGATGCGGACGCTGTCGGATGCGATCGACTGCCTGCTCCGGGGCAAGACGGCGCAGACCCTGGACCTGCTGACCCAGCGACTGAAGGCGCTCCAGACCGCTGTTGGCGACGGCCACTGGCACGCGGCGAAGTGGCTCGAGCTGATCCCTGCCCGCGACCAGCCGACGACGCTCAGGAACGAGGAGGGGGAGATGATCCGCAGCATCGAGATGGGCGAGCTCAAGCTGGAGGAGCTGTCGGCGAAGCTGCGGAAGCCGGGCTAGGGGTCTGGCCGGGAGGAGGCGCGCCCGCCGTCGGCGCCTCCTCCTGAAGGCCGTGCGGGGGGGGCCCCCCCCGCTGCAGCGCGGGAGCAGCTCGGCCGCCTGTCCCCGCGGCCCGCGGCGGCGTCGGGCGCGGCCAAGGCTGGGCGGCCGCCGGGGCAGCACGCGGCGCAGCTCGCTCCGCGGAGGACAAGATCGGCTGGAGGGCTGCGAAGACGAGGTGGCCGAAGAAGGAAGGCGAGACGGCGAAGGCCTACAGCACGCGCTTGCTGGAGGCCATGAGGGCCCACCGCAAGTGATTGGGACGCCGGCGGCGCCCCCGGCGGCCCCAGCAGCGTGGCGGAGCGATTCTGGGCCGCCGCGCACTGGGCCCAGAATCTTGGCCGCGGCGCCCGTGGCGGCCCCGGCGGCCCCAGCAGCGTGCCGGAGCGATTCTGGGCCGCCGCGCTCTGGGCCCAGAATCCTGGCCGCGGCGCGCGCGGCGCCCCCGGCGGCCCCAGCAGCGTGCCGGAGCGATTCTGGCCCGCCGCGCTGGGCCCAGAATCCTGGCCGCGGCGCCCGCGGCGGCCGCGGCGGCCCCAGCGGCGTGCCGGAGCGATTCTGGGCCGCCGCGCTCTGGGCCCAGAATCCTGGCCGTCGGGGCTGAGGCGGCGCCGCCTGGGTCGCTGCCGCTGGAGGCGCCCGAGGCGGCGGCTACCCCTGCGGCAAGCGCCGCAGCCGCAGGCGGGGGCGCGCCGGTGGCGGCTGCTACCCCTGCGGCTGGCGCTGGCGAGGCGGCCAGCTGGCGGGCCTCGATCGGCGCCCGCTTCGGCGCGGAGGTCTCGGAGGTCGACTACGCGATCCACTTGATGCAGCTCGTGTAGTACCACCCTGGCAGCCCGGGATCCTTCTGCAGACAGTTCTCAGCGCACGTGACCACACTTTGCGGGAGCGGCAGACGCGTTCGCGACCTTCTGGCGCTGCCCCTACCTGATGTTACGGCTGCCAGGCGCTGGTCGGACAGCAAAATGAAGGGATGTGCCCCGCGGGGTCGGCCTGTCGCGCGTCAGGCCATGGAGGAGGCCTGGCTCTTTGTGGTGGTGGTCGGCCTCAACTACCTGTACTGCGGCCGCTGCAAGGAGGCTTGGAGGCACCACCCGCGTTTGTCGCAGGCGCAGGAGCGGCCCCTGGCTTTCTTGCGGGAGCGCGTCATGAGCTTCGTCGGGGACCCGTTCAACCAGATCGTCGTCCCCTCCGCGAGTGCGGCTCTGGCTGAGTCCACGGTCGACCACGCGGGTGAGCCGGTTGCGAAGGCGCTGCCCTGCGCACTCGCGGAGCTGGCCCCAGGGCTGCCTCAGGCCGAGCACGCTGCGACGCTGGAGGCGCTGGACTTCGTGGGGCCCGACGTTGCAGAATGGCTCTCGGCGCCGGAGAAGGCCCTCCTGCCCGAGGCAGACTGGCCCGCCCCCCTGCCGCGGGCGAGGGTCAACGTCGACTCCGAGGCGGGGTGGCGCGAGCTCGCGGTTCACCTCGTTGACCTCGGGATCTTCACGGTGCTGCCCGAGGAAAGGCTCATCCGGGTGCGGGGCGAGCTGCTTCTCAACGGCCGCTTCGCGGTCGAGAAGAAGGGCGTGCCAGGCCCTGGGGCCGCCCGCGTCACCAGGCTCATCTTGAACATGGTGCCAGGCAACGCTCTGCTCAAGCCGCACGTGGGCGAGGCGTCGGTGCTGGCCAGCTCGACGAGCTGGACCTCGCTTCACCTCCCCGAGGGAAAGCTGCTGCTGCGGTCGGGCGACGACCAGAAGGGTGCCTTCTTCGTCTGGAGGGTGCCCGCGGCCTGGCGCCCGTACATGGCGGTGGGGAGGCCGCTCCCTGGCGCGCTGTTCGGCCGCCCCGAGCGCCAGGTGTACCTCGCGTCCGCCGTCATCGCGATGGGCTGGATGCTGGCCGTGCCCGTCTACTAGCATATCCACCGCAGGCTGCGCCGCCTGCCGCCGCCGTCAGGCGCGGGCTTGCCGCCTGACCTGGAGTGGCGGAAGGACGAGGCCCGCCCCACCGTCGAGGCAGGCAGCGGGCGCGATGCCGGCTGGTGGCAGGTCTACATCGATGATTTCGATGCACCCGAGATTGTGGAGGAAGTGCGCGCTCGCCAGATGATGGGCACTGAGGCCGACCTGCAGCAGCATGCAAGAGAAAGCTACCGGCGGGCTGGCGTTGCGCACTCGGCCGAGAAGGCGCACCTGCGCCAGCTGCGGGTCGAGCGCATGGGCGCGGACATCGACGGAGAGAGCGGGAGGCTTGCGGCGCCGCGGCAAAAGGTCTTGGCCAATGCGGCCCTCTGCCTCGCGACGCTGGCGCTGGAGACTGCGCCGCGGCGGGCGTGCATGACGGTCCTCGGGAAGCTCGCGCGGGCGTTCGAGTTCAGGCGCCCGCTCTTCGGCCTGCTGAACTCCATCTGGGCGCTCTCAGGCGCGCGCACAGCTGTGCGCTACAACGCCGAGATGGTGGAGGAACTGGTCCTCAGCCTCATGCTGCTGCCTGCGGCTGCCACCTCCCTGCGCAGCCACCTCGACGGCATGGCCACCGTGTCGGACGCCTCGGAGTTCGGTGGCGGCGTCTGCGCGTCCACGGGCTTGAGGCTCGAGGCTCACACGGCACTCGGGGCAGCTGGCGAAGTTGCAGATCACCTCGGAGTTGGGGCGCGGCTCCTGAACGCGCCGACGGACCCGCGGCGCCCGTGGACGACGTCGAACCCTCGCATCCCGGCATCAGTCGTCGTCAGAGTGCTCAACGTGCTTGTGGTGGGCCTGTTCGACGGCATCGGGGGCCCCGCTGCGGCCTTCTCGCGGCTGCCCGCGCGGATTGTCGCCTACGTCACGGCCGAGACGGACGCGAAGGCCAGGCGGGTGGTCAGGCTGCGCTGGCCAGGAGCGATCGACTGGGGCGACGTCACGCGCGTTGACGAGCGCTGCGTCGAGGACCTGGTCGCCGCCTTTGGCTATGCCGTCGACGTCTGCGTCGCGGGCGCCGGCAGTCCATGCCAGGACCTGTCTCGCCTCAACGCGAGCGGAGGCGGCCTGCGAGGACGCAAAAGCTCGCTGTTCTTCGAAGTCCCGAGGATCTTCAGCCTCCTGCGGAGGGCCTTCGGCAGGAAGCTTTACTCTCTGCTCGAGAACGTGGCCAGCATGTCGGAGGCCAACGTCCGTGCGATCACCGAGCGCATGCAGGTTGTGCCCTACTTGATCTGCTCGTCGGCCCTCGTTCCGTGCCGAAGGCCGCGGCTCTACTGGCTCAGCTGGCAGCTGCAGCTCGCGGAGCCGCACAGCATCGTCGACAGGGGCTTCTGCTTGGAGGTCGTTGCAGAGACGGGCGCGGCGATTGACTTCGACTCGGAGGACGCCGGCTGGCGCTGGGACGGGCGCCCTGCCCCGTCCCCGACGCTCGCGTGCTGCAGGCCGCTGCCGAGCTTCCCGTCAGCCCCGCGTGGGCTCGCCCAGGTCACGAGCGAGGCTAGAAGCCGTTGGCAGGCCGACTCATTTCGCTATCATGTTTCGCTATACGAGGACAAAAAACTTCTGCGATGCCTTGCTAGCGATCGGCCTAGACGACTCCCGAGCTGCGAGGAAAGAGAGCGGTTGCTGGGATTCGATGTCAGCTACACCGCCGCAGCCACGAAAGGCTCGAACCCGATCGACGCGGCGGACGCCGGGTTTTTCCTCCTCGGCAACAGCTTCAGCGCGCACGCCGTGGCATGGGCTTCGCAGCACGTCCTCCTGGCGGAAGGGGCTCTAGAGCGGCCCTTCACGGTCGAGGAGCTGGCGCACGTGGGCCAGTGCCGCGAGACCTGGGACCAGTGCGGGACCTTCGAGGACAGCGCGGGCATCCCGGACACCGAAGAGGCGAGGTCCCTGGTCCTGCACTACCTCAGCCGGGCGGAAAAGGGAAGCTCGGACATCCGCCTCGACTGCGGCCTGCCCTACCGTGCAAGAGGTTGGCCGAGGTCGAGCCTGGACCCTTTCGTGCGGCGTTGGCGAGTCGCCCTGAGCATGGCGTGGCCGCGGGAGAGGCGCGCGCACATCAACGCGCGCGAGCTGCAGGCGACGCTGGCGGCGCTGCGCTGGAGGGCGCGCAAGTCAGCGCGGCACGGCTCGCGCTGGCTGCACCTCGTGGACAGCCAAGTGGTCGCGGCCATCGTCGCCAAGGGCCGCAGCAGCAGCCGCCGCCTGCAGCCGGCTCTCAAGCGCTGGTTGGCCATGGCGATAGCGGCGGACATGTACCCTCTGATTTGCTACGTTGTCTCAGAGGACAACCCCGCAGACGAGCCCTCGAGGAAGCTGCGGCGTGGGTCGCGGCCTAGGTGGCGCGCCGCAGGGCCGCCCGTCGCGCGCCCACGCGGCGCGCGGCTGCTGTGCTAAAGCAGCGGAGCCAGCGCACGCAGACGCCGGCACCGCCGCGGGTCGGCGCTGCGACCCGAAGGAGATATGCCGCTGCGGTCCGAGAGCTCCTGAAGCACTACGAGGTGAGCCCCCAGGATATCGGAGCCCTCGGCGACGACGGGGAGGACGCCGACAGCCTCGTCGCCAATTTCCTTGAGGCAAAGTGGAGCGAGGGAGCTGACATCGCGCTCGCCAACAACACTGTGGCGGGCGTGATCTTTGCGGTGCCCAGGCTGCGGCGGCGCCTGGACCTCTCCTGGGCGCTGCTGAAGGCGTGGCGCCGCGCCGAGCCTGCAGGCCGGGTGCTGCCGTTCACGCCCGAGATTGTGGGGGCCATGGCTGGCCTGGCAGCGGAGGCGGCGGCGTTCGACGTAGGCGCCTTGCTCCTCATCGGTTTCGAGGGCATGCTGCGCGGCGGCGAGGCCTTCGCCCTCCGCGGGCAGGATGCGATGGATCGAGGCGAAGTCATCGTCCTCCTGATCAACACGTCCAAGACGACGGCGGGCAAAGATGGCGCCGAGGCCGTGGTCATCCGCTCGCGGGTCGCAAAGGAGATGCTGCGGCTGGTGGTGCGGCATCGGCGCGCCGACGAGCCTCTGTCGTGGCGGTCGCCCGCGCAGCTGAGGAGCGCGCTGGCGGCCCTGGCGCGCGGGCTGCTGCTGCCAGACCCGTTCTCGTGGCATTCGTGCCGCCGCGGAGGCGCTTCCGACTTTTTCCTGAAGTCGTCTTCGATGGAGGCCACGCTCGTCGCGGGCCGCTGGGCGTCATCGATGACGGCGCGGCTCTACGTGGAGGGCGCCGTCGCCGACCTGGTGAAGGTGCGGCCCCAGGACCAGGCCGCCTCCCTTGCACTGTTGCGCGCCTTCCTTGATTGTTCTAAATGATCTCTTCTCGCGCATGCATGTTATAAGCAGTAGCAGCAGCAAAGGACAAGCCTCTGCAATTAAGTGCGGGGAGGGGTGGAGAGTCAAACAGCATTTTCACACGGCCTTTTAGAGCCAAGGAGGGAGTAAGTGGTTTAGCAGGTTTCCCCCTCCCGCGCGCGTGGGCCGAGTGCCCCTGTCAAGGCCTGGGCTGCCCTCGGGGTTCCTGGGAGGGCAGCGTGGCTGTTGGGGCGTCCCCCAGGGCCTGGGCTGTCCTCGTGGCTCTCGGTGAGGCGCAGCGTGGCTGTTGGCAGGGACGATTCGGTAGCACGCAGGAGGGGGCGGGGAAACGAGCTAATAGACCATTGGCGTGGTCACGTGCGCGGAAAAACGGTATGCCCGTATACAGACTTGCATGGCCATACAATTCCCGTGAAACGTGAAACGCACGCCGTCTTCCGTTCCAGAGCTGATCTGGCCCCCACCCGCGCTCCACCCACAAATCATTTTTGTAGAAGAAGCCGGCTCAATGCTTGCCTGAGGTGCCGTAGCACAATCAGGTTTAGCAGGTTTCCCCCTCCCGTGCGCGTGGGCCGAGTGCTCCCTGCCAGGGCCTGGGCTGCCCTCAGGGTTCCTGGGAGGGCAGCGTGGCTGTTGGGGCGTCCCCCAAGGGCCTGGGCTGTCCTCGTGGCTCTCGGTGAGGCGCAGCGTGGCTGTTGGCAGGGACGATTCGGTAGCACGCAGGAGGGGGCGGGGAAACGAGCTAATAGACCATTGGCGTGGTCACGTGCGCGGAAAAACGGTGTGTATATATATATTATATATATATATATATATATATATTATATATATATATATATATATATATATATATATATATATATATATTATATATATATATATATATATGCCGGCGGACAGGGGACCGGGGCCGCAAGGCCGGGACTTGCGCCCCCCATGGCCGACCCGGGGCTCCGGGAGCGCTCCTGTCCGGGCCAAGCGGCGGCCGAGACGTGCCCAGGGAGGCGCAAGTGGCCCCCAAATTTGTCCTAGACGGCCCCGGTGCGCTCAAAGATCGCCCCTGGACGCTCAAGATGGCTCCCATTGGGCCCAGGAAACCGCTACAACGCCCCAAGTTGCTTCCCAGGAGAGCCCCAGGCGGCCAAAATCATTGATTCTGCATAGGAAAACGCGCACGTTTAGCATCTACGTTGTTTCGTTCTTCACGGCGTGCACGAGGGTAGGGTACAAGAGGCCCCCACGACGGCCCCAAGACGGCCCAAGAGGCTCCCAACACGGCCCAAGAGGAGCCCAAGACAGCCCCAGCGGCGGCCAAGGCGTACTCAGGAGGCGGCCAAGACGTGCCCACGGAGCCCCAAGAGGCCCCCAAATCGGTCCAAGACGGCCCCAGGGCTCTCAAAGATCGCCCCTGGACACCCAAGATGGCCTCCATAGAGCCCAAGAGGCCGCCACGACGCCCCAGGAGGCTTTCCAAGGGAGCCCCAAGCGCCCAAAAAAAATAATTCTGCATAGGAAAACGCCCACGTTTAGCATATACGTCTTTTCGCCCTTCACGGCGTGCACGACGGCGCAAGAGGCCCCAAAGACGGCCCCAAAGACGGCCCCAAGAGGCAACCAACACGGCCCAATACAGCCCGAGGGGCGGCCAAGGCGTGGCCAGAGGGCCCCACGAGGCTTCCAAAACGTTCCATGGCGGCCCCGGAGCGCTCAGGGCTAGCCCTGAAACGCCCAAGACGGTTCTCACAGTGCCCAAGAGACCGCGAAGACGCCCCAAGAGGGTCCCAAGAGGCCAAAATCATCGACGACATGTCGGTCTTCACAGCGGCGACGACAGTACAAGAGGCCCCCAACAGAGTCCCAAAACGGCCCGAGAGGCTCCAAAGACGCCCCGAGAGGGGGCCAAGACATCCCAAAAGGTCCCCAATACGACTTAGGAGAGCTCGAAGACGGCCCCAGGAGGAGCCCAAGAGGGGGAGCCCGAACCGAAAATCCGACCCTTCCGCCCAAGGGGGCCCAGGAGGCCCCTGGAGGCCCCTAAGAGGCCCCAAGAGGCCCCCAAGAGATCCCCCCTATAGGCCAAACCCGCGGGGCTTATGGAGGGGAAGATTCTGATGCGCCAAGAGACCCACAAGGGGTCGGCGGGCTCAGGCCAGCTCGGTGGAAGTGCGAGCGGCATGAGTCGTTGCATCTCGCGGCGAACGTCGGTGCCGGAAGCACATCCAAAATCCGGGGATCCTCCTCCTCCCCTCCCTCCGCCCCTTCCCCCCTCCTCCTTCCTCCCCCCACCCCCTCCCTTCCCATTCCGCCCTGTTCCCTCCCCCCTTCCGCGAGCCCCGCTGCCCTGCGCCGAAGTTGCACCACATAGACTGCACCACGCGGACTGTCGACTACATTGCGACACGGAGCTTGCACCACGAAGCGCGCACCACATAGATCTATATGTTTGTGTATATAATAACTGTATACACACATACATACAAACATACATACTTACATACCTGCATACACACAGACCAGATGTAAGTTAACAAAGGCCGTTGCATCTACATATATATATATATACACACATACACAGGAGCCTGGCCCGGGGGGGGGGGGGGGCAGTTCGAGCCGGCGGCGAAGACGCTATTCGAAGACGCTATTCCCCCAAGGAGCTGCGGTGGCGCTTCTATTCCGCTGACGCCTGGTGAAGCTCGCGACGCCTCTATTCGGCCTGAAGCCTCTACTCCGCTGACGCCCACTGAAGCTCATGAAGCGTCGATTCGGCCTGAAGCCTCTATTCGGCCCGCGACGCCTTTATTCGGCCTACGAATTGCGACGCACTGGCGGGGTAGCGACCCTAGACGCGCCCATTCGGCCTGAACCCTTTATTCCCCTGACGCCCAATGACGCTCGTGAAGCCTCTATTCGGTCTGAAGCCTATATTCCCCCGACGCCTGGTCAGGCTCGCGAAGCCTGTATTCGGCATGAAGCCTCTGTTCCCCTGACGCCCGGTGAAGCTCGTGAAGCCTTTATTCGGCCTGAAGCCTATATTCCCCTGGCGCCCAGTGAAGCTCGTGACGCCTCTATTCGGCCTGAAGCCTTTATTCCTTTGACGCCCGCTGAAGCTCGTGAAGCCTCTATTCGGCCTGAAGCCTCTATTCCCCCGGCGCCCGGTGAAGCTCGTGAAGCTTCTATTCGGCCTGAAACCTTTATTCCCGTGGCGCCCGGTGAAGCCTGCGAAGCTTCTATTCGGTCTGAAGCTTCTAATCCCCTGACGCCCACTGAAGCTCGTGAAGCTTCTATTCGGCCTGAAGCCTCTATACTCCTGACGCCCGGTGACGCTCGTGAAGCTTTTATTCGGCCTGAAGCTTTTTACCTAACAGCTTGTTCTGATAGGTTTCTAGTGGTGTCAAAAGGGAGCAGCAGATGACTCCACAGGGGGGTCTGGGCGGGTGCCGGACAGAGTGCCGCAGAAGTCGCTTTAAGCAAACAGTCACACACTTCGTGCTCTTCGACTTCCCAGAACTCCACTCCCGGGCCACATTCTGAATGCCCGGAGCCAACTGTAGGCCACTTCGTGCTCTTCGACTTCCCTGAACTCCACTCCCGGGCCACATTTTGAATGCCCGGAGCCAATTGTAGGCCACTTCGTGGTCTTCGAGTCCCCAGAACTCCATTCCCGGGCCACATTTTGAATGCCCGGAGCCAACTGTAGGCCACTTCGTGCTCTTCGTTCCCAGCTCTGAATGCCCGGAGTCTTCGAGTTCCCAGAACTCCATTCCCGGGCCACATTTTGAATGCCCGTAGCCAACTGTAGGCAATTTCGTGCTCTTCGACTTCCCAGAACTCCCATTCCTGGGCCACATTTTCAGCAGGGGCAAGAGCACGACGAGGAGGAGGACGAGCAAGACCAGGAGGACGAGGACGAGCAGGAGCAGGACGAGGAGCAGGAGGAGCAGGAGAAGAAGGACGAGCAGGAGGAGGAGGAGGACGAGCAGGAGGAGGAGGAAGACCAGGAGGAGGAGGACGACCAGAGGAAGGAGGAGGAGGAGGAGGAGGAGGAGGGGAGGGGGAGGACTACCAGGAGGAGGAGGAGGAGGAGGAGGAGGAGGAGGAAGAGGAGGAGGAGGAGGAGGAGGAGGAGGAGGAGGAGGGAGGAGGAGGAGGAGGAGGAGGAGGAGGACGAGGAGGAGGAGGGGGGGGAGAGCACCAGGAGGAGGAGAACGAGGACCACCAGGAGGAGGAGGAGGAGGAGGAGGAGGAGGAGGAGGAGGAGGAGGAGAGAACACCAGGAGGAGGAGGACGAGCAAGACGAGGAGGACGAGAACGAGGACGACCAGGAAGAGGAGGGAGGAGGAGGAGGAGGGGAGGGGGAGGACTACCAGGAGGAGGAGGAGGAGGAGGAGGAGGAAGAGGAGGAGGAGGACGAGGAGGAGGAGGAGGAGGAGGACGAGGAGGAGGAGGGGGGGGGAGAGCACCAGGAGGAGGAGAACGAGGACCAGGAGGAGGAGGAGGAGGAGGAGGAGGAGGAGGAGAGAGCACCAGGAGGAGGAGGACGAGCAAGACGAGGAGGACGAGAACGAGGACGAGCAGGAGGAAGGAGGAGGAGGAGGAGGAGGAGGAGCAGGAGAAAGAGGAGGAGGAGGAGGAGGAGGAGCAGGAGAAAGAGGACGAGCAGGAGGAGCACGAGGACGAGCAGGAGGAGGAGGAGGAGGACGAGCAGGAGGGGAGGGCGGCCGGCTGCCCCGGCCGGCTGCCCCGGCCGGCTGCCCCGACCGGCCGCGCTTGCGCCCGGCCGCGGAGCGCGGTCAAGGGAAGGGGGCGGGGGCGGGCGGTCAAGGTTGATACCCCCTCCTCGCTCGTTCCACTGCCTGCTCGCAGCAGTGGCACCAGCACATGCACAAGAGATTCCTGCATGAACTGTTGTACTTGCATATCTGATGGCCTTCGGCCAAGGTCGTGCGCACCAG